ACGGCCCTTTGGCTTGCCTTTTTTTTTCCTTCTCAGGACTGCAAGGATATTGTCTATCAGTGGACCGGGAAATGCCATCGGTGTCAGGGAACCGGACTCGTCAGCTTTTACAGAGGAAAGAGAGAAGTCATCAGCGATTGCATCACTTGCTTAGGCATAGGTAGGTAACTCCTCACTACCGTCTGCACCTGAATATATAACACCCCCGGTTATTATAACCGTATCTACTATCTCGATTTGAAAGAACAGTTGCCCCAAAATACAGGTATAATCACCCCCCCGGACGGGTCTGTGCGGGTGCCTCCCTTAACTACACATTATGACAAAAGCACATCTCAAGTCGGCAAGAGGGGAGGCTGGCATGCTTGTATTTATCTGGCATGTCTGTATTTATCTGGCATGTTTGTATTTATCTGGCATGTTTGTATTTATCTGGCATGTTTGTATTTATCTGGTGAGATGGACTGGGGGCAACAGGCAGCCACAGGAGGAAGAGAGTGTTTGTCATTTACAGTGTTTATGTTGACTATGCGTTTATTACTTGAATATGAAATTAAATGCTGGCCTTTGCTTGAATATGAAATGAAATGCTGGCCTTTTCTGGAATAGGAAATGAAATGCTGGCCTTTGTGCGAGGAATGAGCCGTCGCGGGGCCCTTATCAGACATACAAGTGTTCTGGGCTGAGGCCCCTACCGTCTTCACCCGAATAGAACGCCCGGTCATTATAGCTGTATTTTTGGTACAACTTTCGGTCCAGATGCAGCGATAATGACCGGGCGTTCTATTTGGGTGAAGACTGTAGCAAGCCTGTGCCCTCCCTAAGTGAAGGCGGGCCTGAATATCCACGTGAGGCCTGTTTTCGACATTTTTCCATATGTGGGTACTCAGACAGTTGCAGCACACCAGTTGGTTACAGAGCAACGTGAACCTCCAGGCTTTTTCCAGAAGCAAAGGACTGCGCTGTACGGTCGAGCCCAGGGCTCAGGCGGTTGCGCCCTGGGCACGCGCTGTGTGAGGCCGACACATCACGGACTGGTTATGGGCCAATGAGGAAGCAGCATTGTCGTCACACATGTGCCGTGAGCCTACGATGTGAAATAAATTCAAATAATATAATCTGTAACATGAAAAATAATAAAATATCAAACAACTGAAAAGCTATCTTGATGTCAATTTGTTACCTGTTCGGTGAGTGGCCAGGAGCGGAGAATCCGCTTTCGAAAGTTTTTCTCGATTAGCTGCTAGGACTGGAGGAAGGCAGTTACGTGCCACGTTCATGAAGAATTCGGTGCTCTTATAGGGCCCAGTGTGTTGATATCCTTCCTGTATCTCTTGGTTGTCTGTTATCTTAGGGTCTTGTTCCACTAGTACACAGCATTCTACATGCATTTGGACGCTTTTGTGGCCCAAGTGCATTCGTCAGAGTCCAACAATTTGAACGTATTGGGATGATTATGACCTCCAGATACATATAGTGTTCTGTAATGGGGGGGAGGCCGTCAGTCCTGCTTTGCTTCTGCCTATCTTTACTTCCTAAATTAGTTGGCTATTTCGGCATTTCACTCTGTATATGGGACGCTGGACCCGCTTTCCAGCAGGTGATGCTCCCCTCCAATAGATGGAGCCTCTCCCCCGGTGCTAGCGGTGTCTGCTCTTATCAGCACCTCTAGCACTGGAGGGGGTTGTTTTTCAACAAAAAAAAAAGACCATGTGTCTGCGCTGCGTGACTAGTCGACCTCACCCCCACTACAGAACACTCTATATATGCATCTGGAGCTCGTAATCATCCCAATACATTCAGAATGATGGACTCCGACGAATGCACCTGGGCCACAAACGCATCCAAATGCATGTAGAATGCTGAGTACCAGTAGAATTAGGCTGCGAGGTGTCCATGCACTGATTCTCTCTCATCTTGCAAATGTCCGCCATTTCGACCTGGCTGGGTTGGTTTCCCTCCCCGTCTACTACGGAGATTTTGAGACCTCGTGTCACACACTACCGCCGAGAAACGTGTGCGTCATGTGAATGTGGGATCCTTGGGTTTTACTCAGTGCTTTTATAATAATTCTATTGCTGATCAGTGATCCTTTAACCCCTGCCAATCTGTTCGGTAATAATCATCTTCTCATCATCATCATAAGATAATAGATCATCTAATCATCATCATCATAAGGTAATAGATCATCTAATCGTCATCATCATAAGATAATAGATCATCTAATCATCATCATAAGATAATTTGACCTATTCTTTTGTAAAATATTTCTATTGTTTGTCACTGGCGGCACCATTGTGATGCGTTTTGAATCTTTCGTTCTTTTTCCTTTTTTTTTTCCGATCATTTCAAGCAAGAAACTGTGAATACGTTTGAATTTTGAATCTATGGTGTTAATTCTACTCTGTAGAGTCTCAACTGGTAGTATGCTTTTCATGATCTCATCTTAATATGATTTGATTGCCATGTTACATCTCAAAGCCACACTGCACAAGGACTATCCTAATTAGGAAATGTGAAAGTCTATAGTCAGACGTATTCGATATAGTTCCCTGCTTGTGAAGAGTGGGCAGAGCGACTTCCCAAAGCGACTTCCCGAACTTGGGACCTCAGTGTGGCCAGATGCGTTCACATTCTAGGAGATGCTAGTCAGCAGTTATGTATTTGTACATTCTCTGACAATGCCAACTATTGGAAATTCGCTGGATGACGCTGTGATATTTTGCAGGCTATGTACAGAAGATAACGTTGAGAGACGACATCCCGATAATGGAAGATCCGGATGCCTGACAGCTAGAATGCCGAAAGCACGATCGATTACATGTTGCAGTTAGTTGGTGAAGTCCGACACTGCTGGCTTGGTCGTCCTCGCTCTGCAGGTGAGCAACTCGGTTCGCAATTGGCTGCTTTTGCACACTCTCCGGCGACGATGAAATGCCAATATCCTCGTAAACCCACAACTCTCCTAGACCGCCCACGGCTGAGCGGGGCATTTGCAGGAAGCCTCGGCGCAAATAGTCAATATGTCGTATCGAAAATCAAAAGGGTACATCTCCTCCGTCGATACATCTTGTCCGTCAATACATCTCCTCCGTCGATACATCTTGTCCGTCGATACATCTCCTCTGTCGATATATCTTGTCCGTGAAAGGTCGTGAACGGAGGATCGGCGAGGTTGGGAGATTCTAGGCATGTGCAACTGGCCGCAGGGGTGGGCGAATCCTTGTGGAAGGAAAATGGAAGGGAGAGTTGAGGATGCATCCTCTCCGTGCCCTTCACCCATGCCCAGCTCTGATGTGCCCTTCCATTTTGGCTCCAGCAGAGGGGAACCTGCCTGAATCAGAGGTTGTTATATGCCAGGATGACAGGTGGTGCTCGTTTCACACCGCTGACAACGCAATGATCTCGATGTAGATGGCACTTCATAACAGGTTTTTATTCCTTGGGTCATGTTCCTTCAACACCTTTTGAGTCGTACTCTCTTAGCAGCCTTGCACGGTTGGTGCGTTATACCTTCTTGACTCTTGAGTGTTTATTCTGGGCTGCACTGGAGAATGTATGTGCAGGTGTGTACCTCGAGCAGTGCAAGATGTTTATTCTAGCCTCCAAGAGGCAAAATGCAATAACGAGCTTCGTCCTCGAAACTCGGATGTCATAGAAGTGCGATAGGTGTTAGCGAGTTGGAGCAGTAGTTTGGCAGTGCTTCGTCCGCATGCTCTTTCGCAGTTGAATTGGTGAATGTTTATCTTTGTGTGGGGACCACTGTGGGTTACTGATCTGTCTGTCAGTCCTTTGGGTGGAGTGGGCCTGATGTTGATTTTTTTCAGTAAGAAATCATCAGCGCATCTAAATATAGCTCTCATCAGCAAGCTCAGGCTCAAACTTAGGCCGTCCGTCCTGGCGCCGTTTGTCGTCCCATTTCAGAGGTGGCGATGAATCAGGTGGTGCTACTGCTGACATGGTTGACGGGTAGGTGACTGGACTCTGTGAGAGCCCAGCAGCAACACGGAGTAATACAGGGTGCGGGAGATGTAGGCTGTAATATGCGACCCTCTTGCCCACCACAAGGAGGACTCGATCGTCAAAGCTCCATATGCCATTTGGCCTATAGCTGCTTTGGTTTCTGGATTGCAGGTGGGGAAATCCGGAGCGTTTTGATTTTGTTAAGTGAAACG